CGATGCCGATGACGTCGTTGCTGTTCCGAACGGGCTGGACTCCGAGATACGTGAATAAAGAGAGCGATGCCGGGTACAGAAATAGCACTCCTGCGTGAAGAAGAAAAGATTGGAATGGCCTTGCAGAACCGCAACAGTGCTGCGGGAAAAAGAAAAGGTTTTCTTTTTTCTTTTTTAATTAAGACTTTCTCTATATCATTTCCACTGGAGTATAAATTTTATTTCCTTTTTGTTCGATTTAGTAACTCAGTTGTTTTTCATTTGGGCTTCGTCTAATTATTTATATATATTCCGTTAAATCGCTTTTGCTTCTTCCTGCTTCGGTCCTAAGAGGAATGTCGCGATCGACACACGAATCGTGGCCTCCTTGCACAGCACGCGGTGCTTCAGGTTGCGCCACCTCCCGTTGCTCCATATCTGCCGTCCAATAATGAAAGTCAACAGACAAATATCACTAAGATCATTTAGGGACGAAGAAAGATTGCATCTTGATGGCCTGTGAAAATTTTGTGTTCTTCAAAACGACTAACGAGCTTCGACACTTGCCACTAATGTACTGCTCAAAGTTGCCTCAAGAAGCCATAACAACAGGACATTAAGCAGGCTTTTGAAACAAACTAATGCCCTCAGTTTTATCCTAATCCTAAGACTTTCAACTTCCGGTTATGACATCTGCATTCCTTCTCTTGATCTCAGAGGGAAGATCAAGCGGAGATCTCGCTACTGCCTTCATCTCTGACATCAGCTTCAATGGAATCTTGTGGTTCACAATCCTGAAACATCCCCAAGCCTCACGTGCTTCTCTCAGTTTCTTGAGATTGCCCTGGAAAATCTCCAATATCAATTACAGGAACCTTCCCTTCCATCATCTCCTCTCTCTCTCTCTCTCTGTGGAAGAGTCAGTTCATGTTAACCTCTTTAATACAATGATTCCATTAAATTCCTACAGGGTTGCTGTTGTTTACCACTCAACGTAACATGCAGGCCCCATCTTCCTAATCTTGGTAATAAGATCATGCAGCCGGGAAACCGTATATTTTAAGTAAGTCCAGCACTGTGCGAGTCCCACTGTTTATTTGAGGTATAATGTGGTTGGTGTCGTAGACCAAGCCTAGACAAGACGTGGATAAGAGATGTGACCGGCTTGATTAAGCTAAGGAGGCATACAATGAGCTGAGTGTGCATGACCTTTAATAATCAGTGATGACACATGATGTTCTTGTACCTTCTTCCTCTCAATAAACCTCCCTTTTACAAGTGAAATCTGTCCTAGGTGTGGAACTGCAACAACATCGCTTCACTTTGTCATCAATAAACTTTTAGCAAACAGAGAATAGACATATGTTGGTATGTATACATGCCTACATGAATTTATACATACATATGTTGTATGTATTTGTGTTTATTTAGCTCAGGTATCAGCTCTGGAGTTCTCATAGGGCCACAAGACCCTGATGAAAGTATCAATCAACAAATATGATCGTTTGCCTCAATAGAACTTGTTTTTTGGCTCAAATATCAAATTTTGGGTCTTAGCTTCACTGTATCTGGCAACTGCTAGAAGGGCTAACTTATTATATGAGAGATGGTTGGATTCGGATCACTTACACATCCATTGTTGGTTTGTTGCAAACGAGAGTAACTTCGATCCAGGAGTTCCACGACAGAAGAGTATATTTAAAGGGCACAGGACTTAAGATGATATGGATCTACGCACAGCCAAAGTTAAGCATGTTGTCTTAAATGGGTCTAGTCAACCACTTTTTGAAATGTGATTGAACCGATATATTACAATGAGTCTAGACAATACATTCTTGCCGGATACGTATACAAGTAAAAGGCTACAGGCAAAGTTAAGATTGCCTTAAATTAGAAATGTCTCTCAAGAATGGCATAGCTGATAGCATCCATTGAAATGAATTCCTTAATATCAGTGGGGATCTCTCCAACTTATTGACACGGTATCATTTCACTGTAAACTTTCAGCTGCTCCGGCACATCTGCTCAGGATGAAGCACGCACGAGCGCAAGAGCTTCACCTGCCTGAAGTTTCGTGGAGAGCCTTAGTTTCCTATAATCTTCATAAGTAGTAGGAGCAAAGAGACGCGGGTGCTCGGAATCCACAAATTCTCGAGGTGCTTCAACAACTTCCTCCTTCGGTCCCAGGAGAAACGTAGCAATTGATACTCGGATTGTCGCTTCTTTGCACTGAACTCGATGCCTTACGTTGCACCACCTTCCGTTGCTCCACACCTAACAACACATAACATCAAACGAAAAATCCGAGAAAATCTACAAAAGAAAATTGCAGTTCGACCTCATTTGCTATGATTATGTAATACGATATTACATCTCATATTGGAATAACCAAAATTATAGCTCTAGTAATCAGTGCTTATGACTTCCCTTCGCAGGTTTATCTAAAGATCTGATTATCGAGTTTCAGACACCTGTTATTAGCTCTACGTTAGACCTGCATACAAACAACCATAAAAATATGGGATGAAGAACTATTTTTTAAGCGAACGTGATGTTTTCGTTTCCTCCAATTTGACCAACACAATGGGGGAACAGTATAATTTTGCCAATTCTTTTTTTATTCTTTTCGAGATCTTTGATGGAATCATCAAAGAAATGATGAAGTGCCTACCGTTGCCATATCTCCTAGATTGACGAGCAATGTGCCAGTCCAGGGATCAACTGGAATGAACGAACCCGACGAGTCCATTACTTCGAGACCACCAACGTTCTCGTCATCTTGAAGAATGGTCAGGAATCCTGAGTCGGTGTGTATTTGGACCCCTGAAGACCCAACAGTTTCAGGAGTGAAATTGTATTTGTTGATCCTGAACTGGCAGGGCCATTCCATGAACACTTCACTGTCTAGTCCCATGCTTTCAGCCAGCTTTGCGGCAATGTCCATGATGAGTTCGTGTATTGCTTGAGCATACTCCTCTATTACTTCTCTAAAAAAGGACAAAAAAAACCACTGTTGATACAGATTGTGACATGACCATACATCTATTCACCGGTTTCTGTAAATAAGCTGTAAAACCTTCTAAAGAACACAATCATTGACAATTGAGATATTATGAATAGCAATCCACGCTACCAAATTACCAAATAAAAATGATGTGATCTCTATGACTAGCCCATGAATTCATCATAAATCCCTCCTGTCAATGCCAATTTTGAAACATTATGTCGACTGATAACTCCAGATAAGCCCTGATGGCAACCAATTTTATGGGCGTGGCAATAAAAGCCATCATCTTCTACAATCAAGAAACAAATGAGAACTGTTCCCCTGAGTCGTAGAGACCATCTACTGTTGTCATGGGTTCTAGCGATCACCTGACACTTCAATGTCAAGATCAGCCTGAACAAGCAATTAGTACCAGCAGCATATGCTATCAGCTCTATACAAATTGAATCAATGTGAAAGGCATTCTAGAAAATATCAACTTTTCAGTCCACTTTAGTCTAGAGATAGAAAGAGAGGGAGTTAATCAACTTCTTACGCCACAATGGGGGTGTAGAGTAGGAGGAAGGGTACCTTTGGTGTGGGGATGCATCCAATTGAGAACAAAAGGCTTGGACAGCTTGAGATGAGCCCATATCATAGAGCCCCAGAGCCTCATACAGAGGATTCTTCTCACTGGGTACCATGTACCCACTACCTGCTATCACATCTGAGTTCCTTTTCTTGATATCAGAGGGAAGATCCAGCAAAGACCTCACCACTGCCTTCATCTCTGACATCAACTCCAATGGAATCTTGTGGTTCACTATCCTGAAGCACCCCCAAACCTCACATGCCTCTCTCAGTTTCCGATATTGCCCTGGAAAATCTTGAATGTCAATTGCAGGAACCCCTCCCTCAACCATTTTTTCCCCTCTCTCTTCTTTCTCTTGCAACAAAAGAATCTTCTTCTTTTGCTGTGAAAGACTTCTCTTTTCGAATCTTCATTATATAAAGGGTTAAAGTTGAATTGAACCCAGATGGATAATTGGGAAATTCGTCACGGTTCTTGCTTGTTTGCCCTTTTGTGTGACATGCGGGTCCCATCTTCTGAATCTTGATTAGTGTTCATTCGACCATTAGGGCCCGCTTGCTAGGGCCAAGAGGGACCGTGATTGAGACTGATATACTATTTAAGGCGCTCGAGAACAAGTTTCTGCGTTTCTTGTGGGACACTGCATAGGCATAGGAGGCTGATTTTAGTCTCACGACGCCCATGTGAGTGTTGACCATGACTGGATAACTTCATCGAGTTCGTCATCCAACAGGAAAGTTTGGATCATAACGCACTACTGAGGATGTGATTGGGCGTACGTTTCGTGGCCGGTGATGTTTTGCCCATTCTTCCCTCAATTTCAAGTTTCTTCTCACCACACGTAAGTTTGATATATGAATGCTTCTGAAGTGATTCATCAGAGGTTGCTTTTCTTGAGTATGTCGGAGCAGCTCAAAGGTTCATGCCTATTCAGAAACAATTTGGCCTATACAAGCTATAAAAAAAGAAATAATGACAACCCATCAAAACAAGAGCTGGTCTCATCAAGACAATAGATGCCAGCTTGTATGAGAGCACAAACCGAAAAGATAAATGCAATCCCCATTCTCATACACCAACATCGTATCTTTCTTTTGTTCAATAGATCCCGTACGATGTCCGAGATCTAAAACCTCTTTTAAGTTTTAGGAACCTTGTTAAAAAATAAGTGACAATAAAAGGATTACGAAAGCAAGTCACAAGCATATTCGATGCATCGATTAGATTTTACATGCATATACTTGCTCTGAGTACCAATAAATCACATGATCTCCTCCTCACATGATCTCCTGCAACCTATAGGACTGATCCTCGGTAATGTGAACAAAGTATGTGAGACAAAGCGTAAACATGCTATGTATGTCCCATCACAAGAAGAGAAGCTGATTAGCTTTCAAGAAATCAATAGGAAATTTCGCCATTGCATCAAGAACAGAACTAATCTTACAATCAACGAAGGCAACTCAATATGCAATTGGGAAATGTAAATTCTACAAATGTAAGCACATGTAATCTCATCATCCTGAAAGTACAAAAATTTCATCTACTAAATTCTACCAGCCAACTAGCTTCTAGATATGCAATGGGGAAATGTAACAAATATATACACAATATTCTAGACTATACAGATTATCTTTAGGCCAGTCAAAAGCCACCAGAGATGGCGCTGGAATTGCTGTCAGATGCTTTTGCGAGAGGCAGTCAGCTTAACTGGTCACTGAATGTGGTCAACAGCCAAGAGAGTAACCTTCCAGTCTCATAATTAATATCCGGTAATTTGCAGGATAGGTTGTTCCCCATATGCTATTCTTGCAAATCCCATCATAAAACACTACAGGGAATGCCGACCATCAGTCCGTTCTCTCAAAGGTCGTTCATCTTGAATCTCTTCAAGATCTTCATTATCTTCTCTCTTCCCAGCTTGCTCCTTCCAGTAGGCAACCAGTTTTTTCAAACGGATGACCTCTTTTGATGAGACATTCTTGCTTGGATCATTCACAATTGACCTAACTCTTGATGCATACCTGAACATGCAAATTTAAGGAATATTGTCAGATAATTTTATGTTGTCGGTATATTGTTAGATAGTTCAAAAAGGGAAAACAATAAACCAAGAGTCACCAAAGAAGTTCAACCCAACAAGTCTTTGGCCAACAGTCTATACAGGTAATGGAAACAAACTAACAATCCATTGCAATCATAATCAAGCATCTACATATAACAGTTGCATACACCCAGCTCTTACTAGAAATGACAATCCGGTAAATAATTATTTCATAAATAAGCAACCATCTAAAGAGGGTGACAAAGACAACTGTCCAAAAAAACAGAGTGAAAAAGCACTTAATAAATATGAGGACTTACATCAAAGAATTGTAAGTCTCGTCCAGATTTGACTCAGCAGGTGATACATTGACAAACATAAGTGTCTTCGCATTACCCCCAAGTGAGTCACTCATTAGCATCGTCAATTTATGATTCCTATATGGTATGTGCTGACCACTAGAAGATAAAGCACTGATAACGTCCCCGAGAGCAGAAAGTGATTTATTGATGCTTTGAGCCTCCTTAAGTTGACTGCCTGAAGAGCCTGACTTCTTAATTCTTTCTGACCCAGCAAGGTCGACAAAACTAAGCTGCAAAAGACTCACAGTGTTATGCTTTCCAGTAACCATTATCAAAACCCAAACTCAGATCCAAAAGGCAAAGGAATGAAATTTCTAAGTTTCACAAAATGGACTTAACATTGCACAAGTAAACACCAAACAAAAATGACAAATCATCGTAATACCTTTCCTCGTGCCACAGATTGAGTTTGTAAATTGGTACTTTCGATAACAATAGAAAGTATTAGATGAGATCTTGAACTTTCTTCATTCATTTGTGTCCCAGAAGTATGCCTCTGTTCAGACCCCCTATGAATTATGCTCCTCAGTTCGTCAATTGTTGATATTGATACAACTGTGACATTTTCAACGGATACCATGCCCTGCAAATTAAAAGTACCAAAATTACCTCTAACTTCATTAAAAGACATTCAAATTAATCAACCAAATCCAGATATTTTTTACTTGCCTTTGAGTCTTTTTTTATGTCCAATTTCAAGCGCTTGGCATTCTTTGGAAGTAAAAGATCCACGAGTGTATCTTGATACAACTCCACCATGTAGGCCTATAAATTGGCATTGACATCAAATTACGTACTTGAGCACTAGAGTCACTAGCAAATCATCACACACTAGAGTCACTGGCGAATCACCACGTGATATGTTCACAATATTCAACAAGCCGTCATATTTTTGCACAATAAGCAAAACCAATAGAATTTTGGTTTGACTGCTTGAGCAACAGTATTAAAGGTACCTTTAATGAAAACGAGAATTTGTTGCTATCCCGCTTTAAAATTTTGAAAAGTTCGGTAGTAGCCCGAGGAGTGAGACCAGGATTGCCGTCGGATCCATAAATTGTGAAAGTCTTTCCTGAACCAGTTTGACCGTATGCAAATATACATACATTATACCCATCTACAGCAGATTGAACCAAATACTGCAACGTAGGAAATAGGTTAAGCATACAGATATATTACCAACTAGCAGCTCTATAAATAAAAATATTTCAACAACTTCACTAACATCCAAAACTTACTCTTGTGTCCTCAAATACATCTTCTTGGGATGCCATGCCATCAAATACTCGATCATATAAATGTTGCTTGGCTTTATCATCTTTCCACGGATGTTCGACAGTGAACTCATCCACATTTGTGAGCACATCTTTCTCTTTTTCAACAATCTCTTTCTCATTGAGAGGTCTCAATCGACAATATACTCTGACTTTGCCTTTCATATCTGAGACATTCCATAGCCAATTATGCACGTGCAAGACTTTCCTTATAATAAACTATTGTAATGACATTGAAGCCAAACTGAGAAGTTTAACGGGCAAACAAACCTTCTATGGTGTTAAAATACCGCTTCCTCAAAGTTTGTTCTTCTTTATAAAGGACCTCCAGCTCAGCTAATTGAGCCCCTTGCATCTTCAAGATGGCAGCTGTCTGCTCATTCTTTCTATCAATATCCTGGAAGATGGAGCATCTATGTTAATAATAAAGCTCTTTTCGACTCAATGACAGGAGAAAAGAATTTATATCAGAAAGAGACAACATAAAAAGCACCTAGGAAAAAATAGTATTCATGATAAACGATCGGGTGAAGATTAATTACCTCTTTCATCTCTCTCAATTCCTCGAGTTCCTTTAAATTATTCTGTAAGGCAGCTAGCTCTGTGTTTCTATTTGAAAGAGCTGCCTCAGATGTAGACAAATCTCTTGTAGCCACTTCCAACTTCTTTTCAAGTTCAGTCACTCTAAGCTTCAAGGACTTTCTTTCTTGTTCAAAGTTTCTCTTAAGAATTTCCGTCTGCATTTGCAAGAACTATTCAAGACATCTTCCAAGGAAAAAGAATCAAAATGGTTGAGCTAAGATTAATTATAGGAGATGTCACCTCATCAGCAATTTTTCTCTCCAGTCTAGATATTTTCTGCTCTAACAATGCCTTTTCATTTACCAGTCTCTTCATGTTTTCTTCTGCTTCATGTGCCTCCTCATCACGCGTTTTTAGCTCTTCTTGAAATTTTTGTACCACCTATTTATAATATCCACCATTTTCCTTAACAATTCATAAATAACAACTAGCAGTAGCATCTCAGTTCATAACCAGAGTAATCTATTGCCATACCTGATTATTTGCTAAGAGTGTATCTTTCTTTGCAGTACTCTCTGATGCTTGACTGCTCAACTTGGTCAATTTTGCTTCCAAGCTCCTCTTCTCTGAGATTGCAGCCTGAAAGACAATACAACTTATTCAAAAGAACCAAAAAAAAAAAAAAACACAATGATAATTAGGCAAAAAAATTGTACTTGAAGAGCTGTGTCTCTCTCATGACAAAGAGCTTTTAGCCTATCACAGTCCAGCATCATTTCAGTTAAGTTTTGCTTCTCCAATATCAAAGAATCTCTCAGAGCCTCCATTTCTTCCTGGAGGGTCACTTCTTGCTTTTGCTTTTCACGTAATTCTTCCAGCAACTAATAACACAGCAAACCATATGAATTTTCGTGAGAGTGAGACAGAGAAAGATGGGAACGGTACCAAGTAGAGATTGCATAACTAACAATGCATTCATATCATGCAATAGACAAGCAATTATCATGCAAAACTAGTCACATAGAGAGCCTTTAATGCCCTTATAATATCTATGAGAATGCTAGCAAATTACATAATTACTTGGACTGCTAATTAACAAACTAGAATTTCTCAAGATACGGGCTTTGTCGTATTGGTTGAAAAAAACATACCTCAAAAACTGTAGTGTTAATGCCAGTCAAAAAGAAAAGAAGAAAAACAGACAGGGTTTATTAGCATACTTCCACCATCCCCATGGAAAAAAGAAACAAAGGAAGGAAAAGAACTTAAAGAAAAAAGCCCTTAATAAAGCACTAAATATATCTTTTATAGCGACAATGAAAAACTCACTCCAATTATTTTAAGTAGGATGTTTAGTCACTTACCTGATCAGCATTCTTCTGAGAATCTTCCAGAGCTTTAGATAAATCTTGCACACGCTTTTCATGAACTTCCACGCTAGGTGGTTTTAAATTGTTAGAAGCATCCCCATTTACAGAACCACTAGCTATGGACCTAGCCTTAGAATATCGTCGCAGCATGACATCGTTTATATGTGTCTGAAGAGCAACACAAATTTCTTCACCCTGCATGCAAACGAAGTACAAAGATTTAGCAATCTTTGACAACAGATTCCACAGGAACTCGAAAATATGCAATTCACCGAAAAAAAAAAGTCACTAGAACCTGTTTCGTTTCAAATTGGAATATGTGAAGAACTCCTGCAACTCTCATTTTGAAAAAAACAGCAGTATTGCTGCTGCCAAACTGCATTATATCTCGTAATTCAGCCGAATGTAAGTATTCTTTTGGAACTGGGCGAAAAAAATGAACCTGTGTACAAGTCAAGGAAAATTAAAGGATATTAGAACCAAAAAGATAAGTTGATTTTGAGCATCAATATAAATGCAAGATAGATCTAACCCCACGCTTATTGATGCCCAAAACGATACGGCCCGGCAAGAGTCCAATTGGATCATCAATCTTGCGCACACTAAAGAAAACCGAATTTCCATAAGGAAGTGTCCGCAAGATCCGCAGGAATTGTTGCCTTGCGTCATCTTTGGTAAAATGCTCCTATGCAACAACCAATAGTCATGAAGAATATGTAAGAAGTTAAAGTACGGGTAAGACAAGATTTTCATGTATATTATATACGCAATTTAAGTATTAAGCATAATTAATCAAGATAACTAAACACTAGTATAGAAGGCGGAGAAGAGAATAGGAAAGTGAGCCATTCAATTCAAGTTAGCAATCAAGCTTTTGAAGTAACAGAGGGCAGGGGATGGGAGACTATGGGATTTTTCATTGAAGAGCTTCATCTAGATCACTATCTCACCATTGACCGATATCGCGAGAGAATATCCAGCTCCCACTCCCTCTTTGCTCTGGTAATTGCAATTTGCCGAGGGAGAAAACGTTCCAAAAGGGAAGTCCAATCACTGAGAAAATTGAAGTCCCAGAGCAAAAGACTCGTCAAGTGACTAAAAAACTTAAGACACGAAAAAATCCATTTAAAATTTCACTTAGCTTTCGACCAAATAAAAAATTCACTTAGCTTACTGATCCAGAAATATGCAGATCAACTAGAAAATGAAATGTCAACAATACCCGCATTTATTATGTGCAGTAGGGCTTTAAGTTAGAAAGAATATGAAAAAATTATTACTCACGTGCATGATTCAGGGTTACCAACAAATCCAATCTCAGCCAAAATTTGCAATGCAGAAAGCTGTGCAGCATCATCCCTTCCAACAGGATAATTGCCCAAAATATAATCATGCTGCAACTGTTATGAAGTAGCAAAGACTTATCAGAAAAAAAAGATGCAACCTTACCATCGTCAAACAGAAACTAACAATGGCTCCAAAAGCTAAAAGGTAATATAGTGATTGGATACATACCTGAACATAGGACAACTGCACAAACATGGGATCTGTTATGGCTTCATCAGACTCACGAAATAGCTTCTTTTTAAATGTCAATTTGCAGTGCAAAATTTCTCCTTTACTCCGATCCTTTGCTGCTTTAAATTCAGCTAGAAGGTCTCCAATGTATTTGTTGTCATCTAACCCGTTATATTCCTCTAAATAACCAAAAAAAAAAACTTTAGATAACTACTTTAACTAATCAGGCTTGATAAGCAACAGCTGACCAGAGTATGCACCGTTGCCTGGATCTGGAGATTTAGAACCAGTAACTACTTTGCGGCACTCAAAAAGACTGAAGCTAGAGTATGCTGACAGTTTAATAATCCCTGCAAGTTCCTGAAACGGTTACAAAATTGGATCATTACTGTGCTTTCAAGCTCAGAAGAGGAAAAGGATGAGGTTAAGTACAGAAAATAAATTCACTTCCATAAATATCACCAAAGGTTAACTTAAACTAACAATAAGGAAACGAGAATATGGCTAAAGATGGCAATGATCAAGGGTTCCTGCATCCACACCATAACAAAAATCTTCTAAGCTATTTGGAGAAAAATAGACGAATCAGCTGAATTCTGACATTGTGGAGCTTAAAAATAATTTTGGGAGGTTGATTTCTGTGGCATCTATTTTCCTGTTGATTTCCAAATTAACCATGTGATTATCACAAGCATTCAGTTCTCTCAAAATTGATGGTTGTTAACTTTGACGAATGAGCAGTGCAGTGCTACCTAGTATCTAACTTTTGAAAAATGTTAGTTAAAGCTCCCGAAAAGAGGATCATGTCCTGCATAATAGCTGGATAATTGTACAGCCATTTCTTTTTGTAGTAAAGAGAAAAATTACTTATAGACGCCGAGGAAATGGCAATAACTATGTTTGAATTTCGTACATAAGAACACTAAAAACAAGTTCAGTTCAATGATGTTTTCTCCTATTTGTCATCGAATTATCTCTTTATATTTCTGTACGACATTCAATTTGCTTCATAAGGTCCGAAGGTACCTCTACTGCATCAGCCACTGTTGTTGCCATATCATATGTAATCTCTTCAAAAGTTTCATCCAAGAAGAATACTATGGTTGTTAGCTTCCGGCCAGTTAGAAGAGCTTCAATCTCCTCGCGTCCTGGTATTGTTTGTCTTGGACCAGCCTTAACAGAACGCTTAAGAGCATTCAAAGTATTCAATGCAAGAATTTGGATTTCCGAATCAGTGTTGACACCATGTGCAACAATATGCACATACTCTGACAGAAAACCACCAATGTCCTTGCTAGGAGGCATTGAAGATGCACATAAGTACATCAGCTCCCAAGCATTAATTAAATATTGCCTGGAATAGTTTAAACAAGGCAATTTAGCTGAAGATGAAATCAATCAGTATTATTTGACCCCAAAAAAAAAATCAATCAAGCCAAATAATATTTAAACTTCTATGGGAGATTAAAGTTTACACCTCTCAGGATTATTCCGCGTTTGTTTTGAAACTTGAGCAAAAAGCTCATCACGCAGCTCGGATCTCTTCAACGTTTGTTTATACAGTTTCCCCACTAGCTCAATCCGCTCATCTAAGCTTGGTGGAGAGAGTCTATCGGATGAATCAATGCCCATGTACTTCAGGATTATCTGGAAGAGCTTCGTCGCTCGGCTCACTAGATCACTATTGATTTTAAGTAATGAAGTTGGTATAGGATCCTGCAAACTTTAATAGTTAGCTCTCCATGTGTTTATATCACCTCAAAATATATACTATTATCAAAACCACATGTGCTCACCTTCTGGAAGCACAACATGTCCTCAAAGGTAAATTTTTCACGAACTTGTGGGCCCACAGACTTCTTTGAGAAAAATCCACGTTTTCCAGCAGATTGAATCTGTTTCTGCATCAACCTTAAAAACCCCTCCACCTAGAGAAAATGGCAATTAATTGACTTGATTATCAGAAGGCACAGCTAATAGGAAAAGAAAAAAAGAATCGGTTAAGCACCTGAAATCTATCAAACAAGGGTATAGCGCCAGCAAGCTCGGGTGGAATAGCCCTTGATAGAGTAGTTGGTGTGCTGCAGGGAGCGAGAACATAGAATTACTGAGAAGAATTACTAAGAAGGATAAGCACAATTCATATTTATCTCCTAAAAAGTCACAGGCCTTGTAAGAGCTAATATAACTAGGCTAGTAAAGGAGAAAAAGCAATATCCACTGAAATTATGGTTACCTGATTCACTCTGAAATATCTAAATAACAGTTTAAGTGATGGAGAGATAATTTAATATGAATAAAATGCCAACCTATAGCAAGATGTTGGAATGTAGACAATGAAATCAAGTTAAAGAAACTCTTTTTTTTTCTCAAAACATATGTATAGATTCTGTCGTAATAAATGTTGCATCAACAATCATCTCAATTTAAAACAAAATACCAGTCCTTGGAAAGAACAGAAAATGAGAAAAGGGAAACGAACAAGAAGTCCAATTCGATTCTCGAGATGCAAGATGAGGAAACACACATGTTCAGTATGTGAGATGTGAGGTGTTAATATAAACGCATGTAACTCACGGAGGTGCAAAATTGGAGCCATCGCTGTCATAACCATCTCCATTTGAGAAAGCTGAGTTGTGCAAAGGGGATCCTTCATTTCCAATAAGTGAGCTAAAAGAAGACCTGTTACTTCTGAAACTCTGCGCCATACTTGGCTGCGTATCAATTGTCATCTCACAGAACGCCTCTCATTCTCTTCTTCATATAATCTAACAGTTCCTTGTCCTGATATAGCCAAGTGAAGACTGCAGATGTAAGACATACAAAGATCAGAATTCGCACAACGAAAGGCCTCCTTTTGCCATCGGAAAACAGTTTTCTGCTTCCGTTTTCTACTCAAACAAGTCTGACATGCGAACACTAGAAACCTCCCTAGAACAACCGTGATAATAAGCTCCGACATTATCAAATTTTAGGAGAGGCTTTTGTTTGGGTATTCCAAACAACTTGTACATCATTTGGACTGGAAACACAGAAACTACCAAAAATTGATTTTTCTTTTTTTGGCTTATCAATTTAAACTGCCAATTTCCTGAGCTGCTTTCACTCTAAAGTGCAAATTAAACAGAAAATACAGAGGATTAGATTATAACCATCGCAGCTAAGAATCTCCACAGCTTAAAAAAAACCATCTTTGACAGAAAAAACCATCCCTATATGCAGCGAGGCAATATTTTACCCAAAAGAAGATGACGCGAGCGAAAATTCCACACAGCACCGCGAAATAGAACTCAAATTCTACCCAAGAAGAAACGGGAAATGAAGAACCCACGACAACGAACGAGGTCGATACGGGGAATAGCCAACGGAGATCCACGTACTATGCAGATTCCGCGTACACCATCCATCCGCATTACCCCGCAAACAGGCACGGAACGAGCAAAGGGAGCAAGACCCCCGAATCAAGACGAGCGAAGCGACATTCACGTCGCGAGATTTCGTCTCGGCGCGCGCACGACAAAAAGAACAAGAAGAAGATGAAGCATTGAGGCAGCTCCGAGATTCGAGAAAAACTGGGACCCAAAACGCAACCGAGAAGAAGAAGAAGAAGAAGAAGAAGACCCGGGAAGAGAGAACGCCGAAACGGGTAATGAACACGAGAGCAACCTTTCCGCGGAAGGGAAGGGGAGAGATCTGGGGCCTCGATCACCTTCAACCCCCGGAACAACAACAGCAACAACAACACACGCGGAGATAGATAGAGAGAGAGAGTCACGAGAGTAATGGCGTCGTCGTCGATGGCTTTCCGTCCACGCGCACGCTTCCTGGGCCTCTTTCGTTTCGGATCTTAAAACGAAACGAAACGAAATCGAAGAGAGAGGGAGAGCGAAGGAGAGGTGTCCGTGGGAGAGAGAGAAATGGCAGTGGGAAGTGCGACTGGGGAGGAGCAGGAAACGCGAGCGAGGCCCCCTCCGAAGAAAAATCGGAAAAATTCGAAATAATTCGATTTTCTCGTTATTGTTTATTGTCTAGTTTTGGAGCTGTCCGATTTGTTCCTCTCGCTTTTCGCAGAAGGAAACAAAAACCAGTCAGGGAAAATTTTATGGAGTTTTTTTTTTTTTTTTAAATTATAAAAAAAAAGGGGAAGGGGAGGGGGTTGGAAAAGGAATTCGAGAAGATGGCAGCTTTTCGAACGCTTCCGAATCGCCCTTGCCGCTGCGGTTTAATTACGGGGATTGCCCCCCCCCCCCCCAAATAATAATTTTTAATTTCCTAACTTTTGTGTATATATATATATACACGACGAGGGCGAGAAAAAGTTAAAAAAAGGAAAGAAAAGGGGGAAGAGGAGGGACGTTCGGGCGGGAAAGCTCCAAAGATGCGACCTTTCCTTGTGCTGCAGGCACCCACAAATGGCGTCATCCGCATAGATTTGGACCCTTCGGCTTCATACATTTTGTGTGGGTCCCATCGCTTTGTTTTTCTCCCATCTTTTGCTGATTGGGATTTTCTTTTTTTTTTCTAATTTTGCTGGATCGATTGTACTGCGTGGGGTCGATGTGTGCTGTGATTGCGCGTGCGTGTAATTAACCTGAGACGGATAAGAAAATATTGATCCGACCGAGCTGCCGAGGTCCCGGCCCCGAGAGGGACGGGGTGTTGGCACGGTGGATTCTCGCGTTTCTCGTGACCGATTGAGGTCGATTCTATGTGATCGAGCATCTTGGACCTGGTTTGTGCATCCAATTCGACCCCCTTTTCGAGTTTTTCTATGGCCTTGCCCCAAATCTTCATATACCAAGTCAATGCGTGGAACCCTACCGGGAACATTGGGAAGAGTGGGGGTGTGTTTTCCTTGTAGGCCCATCTTGATCACTTTTGTTTGTTCCCCTCCTCGGGACCTGCCACCACAAATTCGTGATTCGCCAAATGTAATGTGCGGGAAGATCAAGGCTCTTGGTATAGTACTCCCATGTGGAGGTAAATTTCGACACCCATTAGGGTTAATTAGACAACTTTCCTAATCACTTTATTAAAAGAAGGAGAAAAAGTAAAGGGTCTGTTGTCGGGACCACGTAGCAATGAAAGCCCAACAGCCGGCCTTGCCGGCTACTGATGCCTGAAGGCAGAATTCTCCAAATGGGGAAACTGAGGAGGAGTGGCTAAAAGGGTAATTAAATGGGTATTTTTAATTTTTATTTTATTTTTGGGTTTGGTTTGGCCAATGACGATGTGTGTACTTGCGTAGTGTATTGAATATTGATTAAGCTCACGAGAAATACCAGACTGACTCTCCACCAGCCTTTATTGATGGACACCACTCAATACGTGCGTCTGCAGAGTTGTGAAAGGCCAACCAAGAAACATAGCTCCAACAACAAATGACCCCAAGCAGGTCAACCAATTGTGGCATTTAAGACACACATGGCCAAGTTCCTGTTTTCCCTACATGTCTTTTCTTGCCCTTTTTTAAGTCTCTCTCTGTCTCTCTCTGTGTGCCCCCCTTTTTATCGTTTCTTTACTTGAGTTCAGAAGATTGAAGGAAAGACTCGGGACAGCACTGGCCGTGAACCTGTACGTGCAGCCAACAACCATGTTCAGGGATAGGGATAGAGAAAAGGGTGACACCAGATCAAATGATTCAGCCCAGAAAGCAAGGCTTCTTTTTTTATTCCAGATTTTATGCACCAATCTTAATGTTAAAACTTTATGGCAAAATATAGGTAGAGAGGTCAAGGGACAATGATCGTGGACATTGAAATGCCACCAGAATGCTTCTTTAGGAAGGAAGACAAAGTTCACCTATTACTCATACCAATGAAAACTACAGTCTCTGTGCACACACCCTAATCATATGGCATTTCTAGCCTTCTGTTCTGGATTTTTTTGCCAGTAGTTGAGCTTTTCAATGGCACTTCAACCTGAGGTAAGGTAAAGCAAATCCCACCAATTTCCAATGCAAAATGCCTCTCTCTTTTCGCTACTTTGCAGGGAAGAGTCTAAAGCTAAGTGACACGAGACAAGATTCCAAATCATCGGTTCTTTGAATTCAAGCATGTACTCGTTCCCTTTTGTTATGATAACCAAGGGTTCTGTAGCATGAACCCAAAGCTACCCAACAAACCGCATTTGCAAAGAGTTCCAAACAAAGGGTCCCAAATCATGTGCCTGCACCAAAATAAATCATGTGCTTGATCATTGCACTAACTGTTGCGAGCAATCTAAAAGGAGAGGATTGTGACTTTCTTCTCTGCCGCATAATTTTTACGATTAAGCTTCCCAATGCATCAACAATAAGCATTGACCTACCGTGCAGAAGAAATCAAGAAGCATCTAACTTCAGCTGAGGTAAGAAGACATGATTTTAGGCAAACTTTTGCTCTACAACAGGTATTCAGAGTACAAATTTTCATCCACATGGAAAATCACACACTGGACAACACATGTAGCTAGAAAAGGCATTACAAGAGATTGATATGGAGATGAACTTTGAAATCTAAAATGAACACATACAAAGATAGAGTTGTAAAACAAGATTTATTACTTATTTCTTCAAGATAAGCTTTGTCTATCCTTCAACATGGAGCTTTAATCTGATGCACTTCATAATTCAGAAGGCATGACCAAAAAGAATCTGCCTCTTCTTGAGCTACAACTAGAGTATATAAATAAACTACAAAGACATAAATGAACAGAAAAAATATTGTCACTCTATCCTCAACTGCAAGGTAACACACCGGTGCTGTCAAAATTCTGACAAATTGTCAAAATTAATTTGTCTGGGCTAAACTAAAAAAGGGTAGCCCTTAATTTTATGACCTTAAAATTTTTTTACCAAAAATGCGTAAGCTCTCCATAACAGCTTGAATTCGATCTGATATAGCATTGTACAGAGATCTCTGTGCTGCCTCATCAAGTCCACATGGAGAAGCGCTAGGCCATCCCAAAATAGGAAACGAAAAATCACGAGAAGTAGTTATTGCCATTCCCCTCATTTTAGGAAGGTTGAATTCAATCGGCTCACCTACAACTATATTTATTCTTTTATTACATAGGGGGAGAGGAGGTCTTCTGCCACGGAAATAGTTTTCAGGCATAACCTGAAAAGGAATTGAATCAATGAGGAAAAGAATGCCCAAGCAAAAAACAAATCAACAATATCAGATTAAACCAGCGTTCTTTCTCATTAAGAGCAAAATTTTTTTATGCTTCAGCAAAACTTTTTGCTTTTCCCGCCAAAGTCCAAGCCAACATTTATATGTTGTGAAAGTTTCCAGGTATTTCGCATTCAAAAAACTCAAAGTAATTGAGGCCACAAGATTTATATTAAGCAAAAAGTGAAAATTAATCTAGACAAGCCCTAAGTTCATGATTACTAGATCATCTGTTAACATCCTTAAGCAATTGCAGGGTACAGTGCATATTGTTCAATTTCTTGTAAGATGTTCAATTGCAGGGGATAGTCCACATTGATTTGATCGTTAATAGTGCAATTCAGACAGGCCAAATTTATCAAAGAATGGACAAAGACAGGAATATTGATAAAACCAGAAACATTCATTTAATCCAGATGTTCCATCGCTAAATATGGTATATGAGGTCTGCTGCTCACCTAACAGCCAGGTAGTCTCAAAATATTAGAAAGTGAAGCCAATAGAAATAGATCTGTGGTCCGTACCCTACTGATAATGTTTCTCCCTTCTGTGTCTTAATCAGAAGATGGAGTTGGATGCTACGTGAAAGTGATTTCAGTATTCCAAGAAATACAATCCCCAAACACACGGAATCACCATCTACTATTTCACTTGAGTAACTCCTATAAGTTTTGAAGAGATTGTGCAGCAACAGTAACTATAATGAACTCCTTCTGTAAGCACTGAACACCAAGTCAAGCATGTCTATGTCCTTACCATAAAAACTAGAGTTAATTCCCCTCCCGACAGATTGACATACGAAATCATTATCCAAGGACCAATATTTTACTAGCAGAAGAAGTGAATTAGGGACCAAAAGGTGTATGTATCTTGTCACTGAAAATAAGAAGCATAGATAGACTTCTAACTGGTGGACCAACAAGTTGACCCGATAAATAATTAGTAAATTGGTGCATTCAATAGACCGGTATACAATCACTGCTAATCTCCAAATTACCTCATGAAGTCCATGATGAACGATCGGCAGGACTATTGGAGTTACAGGGGCTCGATCAATTAGACTAGCAGTTCCCCACTTTAATCGCCGTATAGGTCCATCTTCTTGGGACACTTTTCCTTCTGGAAATGTATGCAACTGCAGATCAGCAATATATTCAGTAAAACTACCAAATTAGATGCACGTGATTGGGGAGGGGGGGTGTGTTGTGTGGGTGTTGGGTTTCAAATCACAGAAAAATT